AAACATTCGCATTTATAATGTTAGTAAGAAGGGAAACTTACTAATCAGTATCATACAAAAAAAAATGAAATACCTAAAATGAATGTACCATTTTCCTTACATTTCATTATAATGTAATGAGATGTAAATGTAACTCTAGAAAAATGTAGTAGGAAAACACATATAGCATATGTAGATAGATACAAAAATACCTGTCGGTAGTTGGGAGTCGTGGAAAAGTCACAAGTGCTTACGGTATCTGGAAAAGGCTTTCCCTAATTACTTGGGGTGTGTTTTGTTTGGTGCTATCGGCGTGTAACGAGCCGCAAATGGGTCTCCGATCGCGCGATCATGCGGGCCGCCCGCCCTGCGCCCCGCCGCCCCGGCTACGCGTCAAAGGCCTTTGTGCGACTGTAAGGCATCGCTCTTAGTGATAAGCTTGGCGGATATGAATATTTTCTAAGTGCTACACTCACACGGGTTAACTGGTCACAAACACAAGGAAAGAATTCCCATTCTTAAAGTCGTCTTCCACTTCCCAGTGGAAGACGACTTTTCGGATAAAAGGATGCATGGAAAGGGAAGATATTTTCTTTCTGTGCATCCTCCCCTCCGTCGATTAAAGATATGCAACGCATATGCAATTGCGTATGTCTATGGGCAACGGTCACTTCGCTATTTCAGCGATTTCAGGTGGCCGCTCGCTCGTTTGCCGCCTTATGATATATAAAAAAATGTATTTAATGGTATGACAGAATGGACGTGAGTTATAATATCAAACAATGAAACGAGAAAAACTTCTTTACATCAATATAATATTTCTGATAAAGTATCAAATAGAAACTCACTTGTAAACCTAATTATGGGTAATCGCTTCCGCCAGTTCACAGCAGCCGTATCCTTAGATAAGCGCGGCTGTGCTAGCGACGGAATCTCGCGTCTATCCTTGTTAATGAGTTTATCTCATATGTGCAGTGCAATTAGCCCATTGAATCTGGCACAAGGATTATTCGGAGGTGCGCGGTCAAAGTTCTTTGTTTAATTACTTGCTAAATTAAACCTTTGTATTGACGACTCTTTATAAGTTAATAATAGCTTTGAAAGTAGGCACACATTGTTAAACTTAGCTTAAAGTTGTATTATTGTTGGTCCGGCAGACCATTAAGTTTCTACATTACCTTAAGTTTTGAGAGTTTAAAATATTTATTGCATAAAATAAAAGTTATTATATTTTGATATTGGTTAGTGAATTACTATTGCAGTTCATAGTCTAGACTTGACTAATAATTTAATAGCAATTGTTAGTAAAATGAACAATTTAAAATTGAAATTAAAACCATTAAATTTTGTGACATCCCCATAATTTAGTGTGGCGTGTGTGTTGTAACAAATTATGTAAATGCCGTGTATGCAATATGGCCCGGCCACTGCAACGATATCTGGCTGCATCGACACGCGACACACATCGTTTTTAATTGTTTTCTATTGTTATTATGTGCCAGTTATTCCGATTATTAAGAAGAGTTAATAGTACTATAATAATCTTTGTCTTATATTACGTATAATTTTTTTAGTAAATCTAACATCGAGCTTGATTTACCGAGGGTTTGTAAGTGTAAAATCCCAGTTTAAAACACATTGTTATCTCTGTTTTGTTAAAGATAAAAGACAGGAATGAGGATATGTTTTATACATAGATTTTGACATCAGAAACCCCCTCGGTTTGACGAACTGATAATTCTGAATATACTTAGTGAATAGCTGAAATAATTGTGTCATACTCAAGACCACGTGAAAGTTAAAAACTACACGTCTTTTTAGACCAAAAACATTACTTTATTCCTGTTTACTCACATGATTTGACTGATCCTTCTAAGTTGAAACTATCCTGTGTAGTCACAGCAAACACGCTTTGTTTGCTCCTTGGGGCCGTGCGGATGACCACAACGAGACCTTGACAGTTCAGGAGCAGCTCTCGGGCTCCGGCCAGTCGACCGAGGGGTCCTTGCTCCTGATTTACGGCCTCCGAAAACCACAGGGATTCAATATGCCTTTGTTGCAAAATGTTTTTATTGAACAATAAAAATTTCCCCGCAAAATGGAGCGACTTTATAGGTCATAATTCCATTTTAAAGCTCGCTCCTTTAGCGTGCCTAAGCTGGCTGGAATAAACGAGATGCTATCTAGTATTAAATCGTATTAGTTTTCATTTGTTTTGAAATTGTTAGTTACTGCGGTTTATCGGAATTTATTTACATTCAGAATTCACCTGTATATTTATTTTACATTAGACTTGTAGTGAAACAAAAGAGAATCTAGTTTTTTGCTCAGTTCATAAATCAATAAATCTGTTAACTGTGTTAAGGGAAATACTATAATAATAAAAATAAGCGCATATCACATAATAAGTGTTTAGAAGCCACGTTCTAAATGATTGGCTTGACGACAACAATATAGAGGAAAAACACATTTGTGCTTGAGATAACAATCAAAAAGTAAAATGCGAACATGAAGATAATGACTCGATGAATAATAATGAGGTTTGTAAGTGTGAATCATCAAATACATTTAAATTGTTATCAATTAAAAGCAATATAATAGCGATTTGAGTCGGGTAGGTCGGGCCATATGGTGTGGTGGCGCGCGCCCGCTGTCGGGGCCACAAAGCCACTTACATCTACGGTGAAAAATTGTAGAGATTAGATATTTTTTTATTAACAATTTTTACTCAAGTACAACATAAATATTAGTGTTGTTAATCACGCCTAGAAAACGATAGTATTTATTAATATTAATTTTCCAAGTACAGCATCTTGGAAAAGTAAGGCTGATTTAATTACGAGTTTTTTCTTAACTTATTTGGTTCAGTTATTACTATAAAAGTGAAGTTCTAAAGATTAGTTTTTTCGCATATAACCCAAAATCAATATAAATAAAAAAATATTGTGGAGAAATCTCTTTAATTTTTTTATTCTACCAATCGCTGGTTTCGTGACCTCATGAGTTCATGTAAATTTGTTGAGCTCAATTGAAGTTAATAGGTAAGTGTAGAGGGCGAGGGTGAGGTCCGCCAGCTGACGGAGGTGTGAGGGAATGTAGCCCTCCTCCCTCTCCTCAGCACTCGACACTCCACGAAACATCCTCAATTGTCCAACAAATACGTCATGAATTTATTACGTATTTGAATTGCTACAGTAGAAAATTAGATGCTAATGTAGACTGTAAATATAAAATCGCTAATAAGGACACGGTGTAGGTAATTTTTTTATTGTTTACTTAGTATTTATATAGTTATAAATATTAAATAAATAATCTAAAATGCATACAATTTCTTCCATTTTATTTAATCTTATTTTAACTCCTTACAATTACTTACATTGTAATTTGCTAATGTTTTTGCTACTAATAAATATTCGCTATACAGTATATTAAAAAAAATATAAGTCCACGGCTGTCTGTAGAATTTCACCTGGAGTGTACTTATGTCAATTTAAAAATGTATTTTGAAAAATTGCCAACAAACCAATTACAATAATAGTATATTAGGTTTTTAAAAGTAGGGACTGGACTAAGGAAAAAATGTAAAGTAGCAACTTTGCCTTAGCAAAAAATGATAATTTCTAATATTATGACACAAGGCGGGAGTCCATCGTATATTATAGTATTAAAAAGATCGCTTACAATGTCGCCAGGTGCGTGCGAACTGATTACATGTGTACAATGATATTTCCATAGATAAAGTGTTTCATGATGTTACTTTTTTTTGTGACTTTTAATTACCACTGTTTACCTTGAGAAGGCATTTACAGCTTCACCGGGTTTGAGGTGGCGGAGCGCAGATGGCATTTAGCCTAAACCTCGTTTAAGAGTAACTAAGCTCGAGGGCTCCCTCAGGAACCTCGACTCGGGCCGTTACTTTGTTATTATTACCGGATTGGAATCATGATGTTACGTTTAATTGTAACACCATATTCGAAATGTCATTAGTACGCGTGACGTCTATACCAGTGTTATGAACTTTTTACGCGAATTCGGAAAAATGCAGAGTATAAAAGTAAAATATTATGAACTAATTGTAAAAGTGTTTATTACTGTTATGTATAAAAATATTATTATAATTATCAAAAACTTTAACACTATTTATGTAATATTATCATAAAAATTTACAACATTTTATGTATCGTGAAGATAAATAAATTTTATGTCTAAATTGATTAAAAAACATATTCATCGCAAAGTAACACGTAGTGTTAAAAATTTGTATCTCCTAATTGTTTGTTTTTTTCAAAGTTTCAGACCGTTAATAATAAGGCGGTAAGTAAATTTGAAGGCTTTTTAAATATTATGTAAATCAAAGTGCATGTGCATTTACGTGTTTCCCTAAACGCTATCTTTTTCTACGAATGGCGCGACGACTGTGACAGCTGTGTGCATAGATAAAATCTTGTCGGACGACACACGTGTAGTTTTTGCCTCAGGTTGACGGAGCACGCGCTTACTAACCATCCGTTTGTTTTTACTAAACACTGATAAATTAAACTTCAGATGTTCGCTTTTAATCTCTTCGTAAATCGTTTTTGGACACAGATAATATCATTTCAAAGATATAAAGCTGGAGGTCGCAGTAGTGATTGAGTTTTCATTGGTTTTGTAAAATGAAACATGTCATTCTTTTACATTTGAAATGTTTTACAATACATTGCAAAAAAAAATATGTTATTATTTTTAAATAAAGGATTAAAAAAGATGAATAATAACAATACTTGGTTTTGTCGCGAAAAAAATAATAAAATTAATTAATTTATGCTTTTATATTTTTTTTTTATTTTGGCTGAATGGCCTTAAACCATTTTTTAAAAAAGTAAACATTTTGCCGCCATTTTGGTAATCACCGCAAGACGAGATTAATGTAAGACGTAATAAGAATTTGAATAATAGTGATAAAAGGAAATAATTCTTTCTTGTTTATTCTTGTATTCACTTTATTTATGATATTTCTGTTACTTACATTGTGATTAAACAAAGTTTTTGAAGAAATTTAATTCAAGCACCTACGGAACAATTTGGAATTAGCGTATAGCAGGTACGTTACAGCATTGACATTTACGATGTCTAATTGCTAGTTTCTTAAACTGATTAGTACGAGCGGAAAAATAAGATTGTACTAGATCTAGGTCCAACGCAGCTGCGTAATGTGGACAGCTGCCGTGTCCATCTAAAGAAACTAGGAATCATAATCATGTATGTGGTAACCAATACTTTTAAACGTGTTTATATCGTCAAAAACATCTATAATGTTGTGGTTTGTTTCATAACGTTATAATTTTTAAGCCAAGATAATCGTACCACATTTGTGATTGTTATATGTTTATGAAACAATTAACACATTTTGACATTTAATAAGTTTTTTATTTTTGATTGTATAGACGTCAAAATCAAGTATCAATTATGTTAAAAGATTTAAAAACAATCCAGTTTGTTTTTAATCTTAATACCATTATTTATAATTTGTACGTGTGAACACAATGAAAAAAAATGATAAGGTCGCGGTATTAATTTTAAAATAATTTTTTTTAAAGATCAAACATAGATTATACTCAAAGTTTTTACATCTTTTATTCTTATTAGATAAATGAACGTGATTGAACGTATTGTTATTGTAGATGTTAAATAAAGCAAAAAATCTTTTTAATTGTCAGTAATCCCTTTCATTTCCATGAGAACTTTTCTATTAATTACCCTATAAATGAGCAAAGGACTCGTCGTTATTACGCTTTCGTTAAACAAAAGGGTTGGACGCACTCGTAAGCCATTGTTTCTCGGCTATAAATCTAATGGATTGTATAATTATGTCCTTTAATATGTGACAGTCGCTCTTTAACATGTAAATTTATCCCGTAGCATATTGGCGGGTGAAGTGGGGTGGGAACGTATAGCGCGATGTTAGGGCACAACGGGACGCCACTTCACTGCCGCAGCCGCTCTGGGGTTGCTGTTTATAATTTAGGTCTTTCGAAATTTCAAAATTACAATATACATTTTTTAACCTTAACCTTGATAAAAATAATTTGGTTTTGTACGTATTAATTTAGAATTTTTAAATGAATTTGAGTTTTTATTAAGTATGTATTATATAATAATATATTATTGTATTAAGGTTATACCTTATTAATAGCAAATGCTACGTAATTTTCTTTTATGTAATGCGAAAGTAATACAAATTGCCTATTTAGTAATCCATCCAATTTAAACCCTTAAGTATGACCATTAGTTATATACTTATTTTAATTTAAAATGAAAATAATTTCTTAGTTCATGTTGCTAACAATCGCGATAGAACTGTTCACGAAGCGTATCAATTTAATTGCATACAAAGAAAACAATAAAAGAAACAAAGTCCTAAAAGCCCCCAGCACTTGTCAACCTCTTCTGAGGTAAATTGTAGACGTATTCGCAGTCTTGCGATTGTTGGCATTGTTATGTGAACAAAGCTTAAGTAGTTTAGTGGCTCTACATAATATGAGAAACAGTAGCGATTTCAAAACGATATCGTTTGTGGGAATACGGGTTTGAATTCAGAATAAGTGCGTGCGGAATAACTTGAATATGTTATTGTAATTGCTCGAGCGAGGACAATGTACGTAATAAAGTATTAGTTTCCCTAGAGTACAAAATCTTCCTAGTGTAAAGCCTAATAGATAAAGTCTTACAAGGCTGGTAGGTACATCAGTTCTTATGTGAAACATTTTAACGTTATCTCATTAATCAATTGCCATGTAGCAGTGAAACTTATATAAGTTAATCTAAACACATGGATCATAATATGTTTGTTACCTTAGACGTAAAATTTGGTCCAATGTAGAACATAAAATAATAAAACTTTTTTTTTTACAAAAATCTACAACGTTATATAAAGTTCAAATTTCCGAATTCAATAACAAAGTATTAAAATAACGTTTGAGCAGTCAATTAAGCGGCAACGTATCGTCCATCGAGATAGCGCGATGGTGGTCCATTGTGGCGCGGCGCCCCGCGGTGCCCGGCAGCGCTGCGGCCGGCCGCACCACTCGCTGCTCTGTGCTCACCAATGTTTTATATTGCAGTTTTTGTAATTGTTACTCTATTTCCGCTTCGATAGCCAGATGAAAGGACACGTATTGTGGGAAGTTATTTGTAATCGAACAGCTAAGTTACATATTTTATCGCCAGGAACATTGTACTTTTCTATTGACATACTGTTTCTTTATTTTTTTTTCTTAGTAATTCTACAACTGCACTCAACCTACGAGTTTCATTATTTCCTTATCTATATAGCTTCGGGAAATTGCTTCGTTATAAATGGTGTTGTACAGTTCATATCTAACACATGATCTTGAAAATTGTATTAAGATGTTAGTTTTTAATGAAGCGCCATCCCGCGGCGATCTGGCATCGACGAACGTAGACGATTGTGTCTTCACACCGTACTCAAAGAGTTGTATGCTGTATGCTTCGCGATCAAGTTAACAGATAAGTAGTTTCTCACCTCCCCGCGGTCGCGTCGTCGCGAAAGGGTTCGCCGAATAATTGCAACAATCAATGTGAAGGAGCTATCGAGCAATTTGTATGGTATTTGTGCGGGCCGTCCCGGCGATGCTATCGCGCCTCGGGGTGCCCCAGCCCGTTGGGAACTCTTTTTAACACTTTCTCACACCTCAAGTGTTAATGGGTGTCGATAATAAAATTAATAACAGCGTGTAGTTAATAAGCTAATTTTTACTGTTTGAATTTTAGTATACGCAAAAAATTGCTAAAGATAGTAAGTATATAAAAATGCTTCTTAAAATTTTTAATGCACTGATATTTCTGAAGAAAAGAAAAAACAAATTTGTGTGCACATTTGATTTTAGCGCTTCTACTAACTCATGTGCTTGTGTGTATCAGGTGTGCAGTACAATAAAGTTGTCAATTTTTTTAAGTTAACTTTTTTATTAATTGCCTCGACCACCGTTCGGAAATAAAAATCTTATTAGTACCGTCTTACCAAGAAATACGAAGCCTAACCATAACTCACAAACGAATCCATAATAAGACATAAACATCACCTCGTAGCAATATGTCACACGTAACAAAGCGCTGCGGTAACGGTGCCCGTCGCGCGGTCTCCGCGGCCCTGTTATTTACGATCTCCTGCCGAAGAAAGAGAACAAAAACTACTTTGCTGTTAAATATTTGCCAGAGACAAGAGGGGGCGATAATTCGAGGCTATTATGACGTCACTTCACGCCTTTTGTGCCGCCGTCACGCCGTGTCATCTGCTCCTCGAGACGCCTGCCTCGACTATCACTCGATTATATCTATTGTGTCATTTTTTTTAGTACGCGCGAGTCGGATGTGCCACCGACGATGAATCTGTCCCGTTCGCTTCTTCGCTCGATTTCGCTGTAAAAACTCTAGAAGAGCTTTATTGTCTCGGGGGCCTTTTACGACCTCTGTTTTGTGACGCTGTTATTGTTTGCGGACGATAAACATCTCGCCACTAGGTAGGTAAGGAGCATCATCACTTTTACCAGTGGTTTATTTAATAAGAGCTCTATCGAGTTCGTCAATTATTTTTTCATCTAAATGGCCCTTTCAAGCTTTTAAATGGAAGTAAAGAATAAGGATTTCTCCATGTTGCCGAGAGATTTAGCTTCAACATCAGCATCAGTTTTCAAGCAAGATCCAAAACTTGTAGCAGCTATTAATAAACTTTACGGTAGAAATGAAGAAGACAATTCAATTAGTGAAATTGTATTGCCCGAGCGAAAACTTAATTTTGAAGAAGTCCAAAAACTATTAAAGAAATCGTCTAAAGTCACAGGTAATATATATGAAAAGGAAAATAATTTAAACAAAAGTAAGTAGCGATATTGTATACGTATGAAACTTTTAATTTTTTTTTTTAGAGAAAGCACCAAGTACGTATATGCAAGAAAGAATTAATATTAGAAAGGAATTGATTAAAAATATAGAAAAAATACTGGAAAAGTTGAATAACTCTGCAGAGAATGGTGATACACCAATGCTGTTATTGAGAAACCAGCGGCTATGGAGTAACTGTGTTTATGATTTAGACAGGTTAGAAATTGATTAAAAGATTCTCTATTTAGAGAGATCTAATATTTAATTCTATTTTATAAGACTTTTTTGTTACGTCTTTCAGAGTAACGTTGAAGGCTTTCGCGGACGCGAAGAAAACGACTTTGAGTTATTCGAACCGGGAAGACAAGACGCGGTTTAACTCTGTAGTTTTTGTTCTAACAAAAGTACATGAGTTATTATCGAAAAACCTTTCAGTTACTAGAAGGTAAACCAAGAAAAATACTTAAGATGTATATAGGAAGGATAATTAAAAAAACATATTATTTTATTTGGTTTTTAATTGCATTAGGGAGCTTTTCTATCAAAATGTAACAAGACTTCGTAATCAAGCAAACTTGGACGTTGCTGTTAGAGATGTTTGTTGCCTCTTACAAACACCGCCTTGGAATTTAGGAATAATGGCGACAGCTAAAGGTCTGATAGCTGGTCATATTCAATTACAACTGCAAGATGGTTCTTTCGTTGACTGTTTTGGAACAGGTGGTAAGTACCACTATCGTACATTTAAACGATGAGACAGTTTTATGTGAATACAATTGCTTTTTTATAATTAATAATTCTTGTGATTGTAATTCATCGTTAATTTTATTTTTTTAGGAACACTTGTACCGCAAGATGTGGATGGCATAAAAGAGTTCAAATCGACTGCAAAATATATATTAGTTGTTGAAAAGGATGCCATCTTCCAGAAGTTATTAGATGAAGGAGCACTCGTGAGATTGGGGCCTCTGATCATTTTGACTGTAAGTTTTCTTCTTATCTTGGTATATTACAATTTCTGTGTTTGGTTCGGATAGGATTTCTTTGCTCCGTTGTATTCTAAAATATCTTAGTTATATTACTGTATGTGCATTGCTTATTTAATATAGGGTAAAGGTTACCCGGACGTGTGCACTCGGCAACTTCTGTGTCGTTTGGTCAATGAGCTTCGATTGAAGGCACTAGCTTTAGTAGACGCTGATCCACATGGATACGAAATATTTCTAACATACAAATATGGATCATTGGTAAATATAATTGTTTAAAAATTTAACAACACTCTCATGCTTCACTTAGAGCCAATGCAGTAATTTGAAAATACGATAACAACAAAATTCGAAGAGGTTTTCCACCTTGCTTACTATTCTTGCTATGTCTTCAAAAATGATTTATTTCATTAAAGTCCTTTGTTATTTAGACTTTTATTAAAGTCAACAACAATCTGATAGTATTAGCACATTATCTTACTAATGTTATAAATGCAAATGTTTAGATCGATGGATGGATGGACGCATGGATGTTTGAAAGTTTATAGAACATAGTCTGGAAGAACACATACTAATTTGTTTTTTTTTTAATTTCTCGTATACGGGAGACCGCTAATATATTAAATATATTGTCAGCCTTTAGTACATATTAGCTAGCACATATAACTTCATGTAATTTATTCCAGGCTCAGTCCCACCTCTCGCAGTCACTGGCTTGCAGCTCCCTGCAACTGCTGGGAGCCAGACACGGTGACGTCATGACACTCGCTTCACGAGAAGCACGTCTGACACTCACCGCTTTGGACAAGAGGAAGATTGTCAGCTTGCTCAAGAGGCCTTACCTTAATACGACAGTTGGTGAGTACCAATACAATAAATATAACGCCGACGTTAGGTGTCACGTACTTATTTTTTTAGTGACATATCAAACATTAAATAATTCTATGCTTTTCAGTATACAGTATACTCTACACAGTGTATTTTGTAGTTTAAATTGGTTATTCTTAAAGATTAATATTTAAATTTATTGGTAAGCTGGAGAGGTCAGTTAAAAATTTTCGTCTAGGAGAGTAGAACAACAAAATTCATTGGAAAGCAATAGAAATATAGTATAGTATTATTATAGGTTCCATTATAAAGAAAGACTTGGAGGAAATGTTAGAGAGTGGAGTAAAAGCAGAAATCGAGGCGTTATCTCCCACGGCCGCAGCGCTATGTGATTTTTATCTGCCTTCAAAAATTATGCAGGGCAATTACTTGGGATAAACCCGAAACAAAAGTACATAAAATAAAATGATTTATTTGTCATCATTTTAAAAACCAGTAGAGACGTAAGTAAGGAATGTTACCTTGAATTTTAATAAAGTATTATTTTTCATTTGGACTACTTATTAAGTTAAATAAAAAATAGAATCTGAATATGATAATTTTTTTTTTAAGTTAGTAGCGTCATCTAGCGTGAAGCAAGCTTATCTTTGACCGCTGTTGGCGCCATCTAATCATTAAATATAAAGTTGTACCTTTTTCTATTAGTTTCGGCACTGGCTAAGAGATGGCGCTTTTACAAATTTAAGGAAAACTGAAAAAAATATAATGGGACGGAATGAAAAAATTAAATAGAAAATAATGTTTATCGACCGTTTAATTTTTTTTCTATTTAATTTTGACATTTTTTTACATAGGAAAATCGTAGACATGTAACTCATACACATATCGTTGAATTTTTAAATAAAAACTTTTTACTAGTTAGGTTTTTAAAAATTTTATATTATCAAAATTGTCATTAACATTGTCAGTGTCATTTTTATATAAATGACATTGACAGAATGTCTCGGTGAAGGAAGCAAACGTATTGATAAAATGAAATTGCATTACCAAAATTATCTCGCTACAATATGGAAAATAAAATAAATCTCACACCAGAAAAGAAATATAATAACAAAGCTCGTTCTTATGAAAATGGATTCCAAGTGAAAAACAAAGCCGGTCAAGTCAAAGGTAAATTTATAAAAAATGGAGCCGCGAGGTCTCTGGACACACCAAGGGATAAGTCGATTAAAGATAACTCTACCAATGAATATTCTGATGGCGTAAAATATAAGTCACCAGTAATACAACCCAGGGCTCCAGAAGGTTTCCTTAGTGGAGGCAGACATAATAAATTCAGATGTTCCGTTGATAATGTTTCTCACGCATCTACGGACCTCTCTAAGTACGAATTACTGCGAAATTTATCATTTTCTAATTGTAATTCCGATGAAGGGTGCAGCGGTAATACGTGTAGCAAACACCCAAGCCCTGTTGAATTAACAGTGAAAGACGAACATCTAGAAAGATATTTTAGAAGCGCCGAGTTGTGGTCTAACAATAGTACTTGCGGGGATCAAGGCAGTGTTTTACCTAATGTCACAGAATGAAGCACTAGCTTGGCATTTTTTTAACATCATCTTATCAGTTATCACATGCATTTTAAAATAAAGTAATTTTTAATGCGCAATTTAGTAATTTGTCTTATTTACCGTGTATTTCTGAGACCAAAATCCCAGTTGAAATCATGTTGCTATCTCTGTTTCGACAAAGATAATAACAGGGATGACGATATGTTTGTAGAGATATTTTGATCATGAAAATCAATGGTTTATTTACGTTTGAAACATATGTATCCTAAATACTTTCATTTCTAAGCATAAAAATTACAAGAGGATCTCAGTTTAATACTTTAAATAACAATTTCTTCGGACAAAAGTAAGGGGCACAATAAAAATTTATTTAGTAAAGTTTCATTTTATGCAAATCGGGCTTAAAAAGAAGCAGTGAGTAAATTGAAATAGAAGCGTTTCCTACTAAGCTTTGGGAAGTAACAGGCAACCGTTAACTTGTATTTACGTGGTTGCAGGGTGGAAATTAAAGTAATAAATTAAACTAAATCGTTTATTTTCTTCAAAATTAGTAGTATTACGCGATGATTTGCAAAGCAGTGAGCTTACATAATTATACGAGATTTAAAAAAAAAACAAGTATATCCAAAAATCTTTAAGGTTTTTTATTACTCCTACATAAAAATAATAAACAAAAAGGTTTCCCATAGTCCAGTGAGTTATTAAGTTATAAATAAAAATGAGTATCGTGCATATGCAATAGTTCAGCCAAACAAATAGATCGATTTAAATTCTTTAGAAAATTTTAAGCAAATTCCGAAAGATCTCTACGTATCTTTCGCTTCTAAGCCCAAGAAATGGCACAGAAAAGGAAATTCTTTCTAATGTTAAAAATATTTTATTGAAACATTGTGTTGTTTATATACGACGTTTCTGGACTTCTTTCTTGTGTAACAAATTTTGGTTCTTTAAACAGCTATTTCCAGTTTCTTTTTTGAAATTAAATTGCTTATTTAAATTATTGTAATGTTTATTACGTTCTTTTTTTATTTATTAGAATCAAACGTAAAAGTAGCATAAGCGTATATTGCGACACTAACATTTTATTTCCTTTTGCCTTTAGTCCGACTTCACAGTAGCTTCAGTGCAATTTTAAGGTTCACTGAATTTCGGGGCTGTTTTTAGATTAGTTGAGTAGAATTGTATGTTGCGCATTCTGTTTTATTAAGTTTTGTGTTAGAATTAAAAAAAAATCTTGTTATTTTTAATACCCAATACTAGACGTTTCGTATTTTGAAAATAAATTATTCAAGTATTTAAATTTTATACAACATTCATAATCGACACCAATATAAAGAAAAAAAGGTTCGTGTTCTTCTTGAAAGTTATAGTAGGTCCCTTATGTTTGTAAGATATTTTTAAACATTTCCATAGAGTTTAGATTGTGCTTTGAGAAAAACCAAAGCTGTAAAAACACAATTATTAAATTTAAGAAAAGTAAGACAACAAATTTCTTCAGACTGTAAAGGTTTCATGAAATTGTTTGTCTTATATTTTAAAAATTATAATTTTAGCGGACAATTTAAAAAGGCGGACATTATAAGTAGGTATACAACGCCGTATTTGTTACTCTCTATGAGCTATTGCGGAGTTAGAATTGTTTCCGGCCAGTGTTTATAGTCTGACCGGAAGTTCCACGGAATTGAGTAAGCTGCAGCCTGCAATGCAGATGCAAGGCCTCCATGCGACGTGATTTACGATTGTCCGCCTCCGACTCTTCGGCCTGACACGTACTACATCAATGCCTTTGTTATATTCATTCCGGGTATTAAATTGAAACAGTTAAGAAACAATAAGCTGTTTTTGGATGTCATAAAATCGGTTAGTTTAATTTGCAAAATATTTTTTATCATGACATCGAGATGTCAAAAATGTCGGACCTTTCGATGACTTGACTTATCTAATGACCCCGTTGTGGGGTAGAGGGCTTCCATAGTCCGCCGCCATCTCGTTATATTCTACACTCTGTGCTTGATCTCGGACTATATCTGCCCAAACGTTTTCATATTAGCCGCCATTGATCGCCGTCACATTTAGGGCTTGCCCCAACAAGGATAATTTAGGGGAAGTTACTGTTGCCTCGCTGTTAGATTTACATCTTCTCTTCATCATTCTCTATGCTGCAATAAAATTTGTAATAATTTAGAAATTTACCACAGCCACTATGATATGTTGTGAAGAATGATGCAAGCGCATGGGGAATACACCCGATGATCCTCTTCTTGGCAACCGTCCAGCTACAATATATCTCGTATTTCGAAAACTAGATGTATGGTAGCTTGATGTAAGCGATTGAATGGATCTTGTAGTATATTGTTATTTGGTTGTAAAAGAAGTTGTTACTAACATATGTCTTCATTCTTTTCTCGAATATTTGAATTTATAAAATTTTATTTTAAAGTTTAGCTAACCTTACCTTGGTGTGCACATGTCATTCCATTATTGTGGACACTAACCTATAAATATATCAAACACTAATCTGCATATATTAGAACAATAAATGTCTATTTGTTAACACGTTGAGCGCCACGTCAGCCATCGGTGGCTGACATTAGACTTTCCCTTTAGGCCGCGTAAGCCATCGGTGGCTGACACTAGATTTTCTGTTTAGGTCGCGTCAACCATCGGTGGCTGACAGCGTGTAACATGTGAACTATAAAATTTTACACTATTTTGCGGTAAAAATGTAAACTATTTTGTACTGCGATCGGAAATACCGGCCCTTTAATACCAGTGCGTATAAGCGGCGCTCGGAACCTGAACGGGATTGTCTTAGAAATACGCGTGGCGCTCAACGTGTTATTCTTGCAATCGTCGATAACCATTAATAAAGATGTCAACCAGGCATGTCTTGATGTCGGTACGATTGGTAACTTGTGGTAACGATAACTTAGTGTTATGTTAGCAAGATAAATTTAATTTCGCTTGACATTTGAATCAATAGTATCTGTAGCTGCGCCAAATAATAATATCATTGTAATATTTAACTGTAATCTTTTAAATGAAATACTTTACTTTGCTCGCAAGGAAAAACTTTAAGCAATTAATAACACGTTTTTATTAATTGTAGCCAATTACGCGATGTGATTATCATCATCGTCACATCACATGATTATCTCTTCAAAGGGAGTGGCCCTTACCATTTTAATAATCTTATAGTATCATTTATAGTAACACAAGGAAATCAATTCTTACATATACTTGCTTTAAGATACCTTAATAATAACCTAAAAGTTGTGTTTCGTATACAGGTTAATACTAACTAGCATATATTCAATTTTAAAAGTAGTAAAAATAGTTATATTCAGTTTTCCAGTGTCACAGTGTGGCGTCCAGAGAATATATTAGTTGGCTGATGGACGCGTGCCTTGGCCACCGTCCAATGCTATACGAAAATTGTACATTGCATCGCAAAATTACACATAACTATATATTAAAATGTTCTAACGTATGTATTGAAGGGATTGGGATAGGGGGAGGGGTTGGTAAAAAGAAGAAACGTAAAAGAGAGAAATTTTCTTATGAGTTACGCCTGTCAACAGTTTTTCTCTCCTGTCTGAGATGGCTTAATTCTTGGTACATAGATTGTTTAATCGTGTAAATAGACATTTTTGCCGCCAATTATGTTCAGTGATGAGACCACTATAAATTCATTGAATACATATTTTTATTCCCAAATTAAGGAAAAGGAAAGAAAAAATAGCAATTTCATTCGGTGACACATAACGTCTAATAATTCAATTTGGCGTGACAAGGGGCGCGCGTTCGTTTCTTCACATTGAGGAACGAAGCAGACTATGTTATTTTCCCCCGCCTTGAATTTCATTCGCGTTT